TGTATGTAAATATGCATGCCAAGGCATTGTCAGGTAGAAAGAAGTAAAATAGAAGCAAAAGAAGGAAAAGGGTTCTCTCTCTCGATGTATACAGCAGATGTATACGCCGAAGTACATACACACAGACACGCATGATGCATGGATTGCAGAGCATGCATGTCGACAGCATAGCCCGCTCTCCGGGCGGGGCGGGGGCAAGTCGTCAAACCGCATCCAGTGGGTGGAACGAATGGAAGTAAGGTAAAGGTGCAAAGAGTAGAAATGGATCAATTTCAATTGTCGAGTTTGTTGGCATCTCCCCCTTTATCGCCCTCGTTTTTCTTCGTCTCTTTTTTTCTCTTTCCATTCTTCCTTCTTATTCTTCTCTTCTCTTCTTTTTTCCTTCCGTCCCTTGATCATACCTTACTTCCTTGCCTCTTCTTCCTTTCTTTCCCAATCGATCGCCTTTTCATCTTCTGATCTACAGCCTCGATCTGCCCTTTCTCACACTCTCGCCCTTCACTCTAGTTCCTCCCTCTCACATTTCTATCCTACCATCTAATATATTAGGTGCTCACCCACACCCTCCTCTCTCCCCTTCCCGACACCACTCTCTCATATTTATTTTACTCTCACTAGTTCTCAGCCCTAAAGGTAATGCCATCTCCGCAAGCACCCTATATCAATCAAGCAGGGGCAGCAATACTTCTGTTCTTGACTTTTCATTTCCCTCCAATTGGCCCCTACTTTTCATTTTCTCGCTCATAAACAAGAAAAGCGTACATACTCTATGCTACTACCAACACCCTTTATTTCAACATTGATTTTGCGCTCCATTTCTAATTTGAGCACTTGCGCGTTTCACCATCCATGTGGTTCCGCCTTATGGATCGAGAGATCAATTGAGAGTAGGGGGTTGGAGTTTGTGTAAGGGATCGACTATTGTTAGGGTTGATGTTTGCTTGTTCGATGAAATATACCGTGTTTTTTTTTGTTCTGGAGTGGCACACGGAGCAATGCGCGATGATGAGAGAAATTACGACCGCACCATCCCCTTTTACCACAACCATGTGTGTCCTGACGCTTGTAGCTTTGCCCTTGTAATCCAGACACTATCCCATCCATCAAACAAACACAATTGTCGTCACCATCCTCCGTCCATCCGTCCCTTTTTTCTCTTCTTCCTCTGTCGTACAACACACAGTACGTCGTCTTTTGCTTTAGACTTCTTCATACGCGTTTTTCCTTCGTCCTTTTCCGCGCTTCGGTCAATAGTTGTTTACGCGCATCCTTCCTTCCTCCCTTCATTCTCCCACTGTGTGTTTGCTTGTCTTTTTTTTTCCTATTTCTGTCCATAACAAGGTGCGATCGGCTCAAAAAAAAGGAGGGGGGCCAAAACAACATCAACGAACCATGCAAACCAAGGGGGGATGGGGAGTTTGTTCTCTATGGTTCTGCTTCATTCTTACATGTGTAAGAAGGGAGTGAGTGCTCTCGTACACATAACGGGTAACGGAGAGTAAGAATAGGGAGGAGAAGGAGGCGTAGGAGAGGAGGATTGAGAGGGGCAATAGAAGGAGGAAAAGAGAAGAATAAGAAAAACAAGGCGGTCAGTTTTGTCGTTATAGGTTGGCGTTTGTACTAGTCGTGCCGTTGTGTAAAGGGGTTCGTTTACACCATGAGCCGAACACAAGTTTTCTTTTGTTCATGGACAACAACGGTGGAATAAGCAGAGGATGGTGGCTCTCTTCAAGTTTGTTCCACTTTTCCTGGGCGACCTTGTTGTCGGCTGTTGTGGGTTCGTGTTGTTTGCTACGTGTCTGTTCGTTATGTTGTTGTTGTTGTGATGAGCTTGTTTTTGTAACTGTTTGTTTTTTGGTGGCAATGCAGGATCTCATCTACTCCACGCTACACAAAGGAAAAAAGAGATGACGACGACGAAGCATGGGCGCGAGGCTAAAAGTAGACTACACACTTGGTAACATTGCATCCACTCCCTTTCTCTTTCCTTCTTCTTTCTCCCTTCTCTTTCCTTCCTTCCTGTTCTCTTCTCTTCTCCTCTGTCTACTCACCCCACTCATATCCACCACCGATCTTTTCGTACATTAGCTTTCTATATATCGCCTCGGCACTCGACGTCCTATCCCCCTATCGACTATCGACCTTTACCAGGACAATAATACCTCACTTTTTCCCTCGTGGCAAACAACCGACAACACAACACACAGACACAAGCCCTGTCTTTCCTTCACTTTGCTCTCTGTCTGCATAAAGAGACAACAATAACGAACAACAAACTCAACAAGTTCAACAAAAAAACAAAAACAAACAAAATAACAAAGCGAATATGACGACCTCGTCAAGGATGGACCAGAGTATTCGACCAGGATACCCGCACCAACATCACGTCCTCCAAGAGTCCCTCCACCCTCATCACCCCTTCAGTCTCGCCACTACCACCTCTTCCTCGAGTAGCAATGGCACTTCCTCCTCTTCATCCATGGATGGAGTCATACATGGGACCCATTCCGTCAACAGCAACATCCCGTTGCCACCACTTGACTGTCTGTCCGAGGCAGCAGCTGCCATCTCCTCTGCCGTCCAACAACAACAGCAACAGCATCATATGGGGCGAGATCGTCACAATCGTTATCATCCAGGACATCCTATGACGACAAGCTCAAATCCTACTCCTTCTTCGACTATATCTAAATTGACAGGAACAAGTCTAGGCAGTGGCAACAGCTTCAAGGAAGGAGGAGGAGGATCACGGCCCCAGTTGCCTTCCCCTGGGAGCAGTAGCAGTCACCTCCTGAACCTGCACCAGCCCACTTCATCCACCTCCTCACTGGCCACGTTGTCGTCTACTTTGTCAACTGTTGCTTCTTCTACTACCTCCCCCCTCTTTGACCACTCACACTCCCAGGGTAAGTTACGCATACACTAAAAAGCAGTTTGCCACTTTTTTTGATTGTTTTTACCATATTTCACGGAGTGAACCAGAATCTTCCATCCACAACATCAACAGCAGAGCGGAGGAGGAGATAGAAAGAGGAGGGAAAGCACGGCGGAGGCGGAGGTGTGAGACGACCACACAGGATTGTGGAGAGAGCACTTTTTGTTTTTTTATCCGTGTGCCTGTCTGTAACATGTGTGGGTTGGGTTTGTGGTCGTTACTTTGGGATTTCTCGTGTAGTCTTTGTTGGGTACAGAAAAACAGAGAGCTTCTGCTTTCTTGGGTGGGGGTGTGGGAGCAAAAAGATAGGGAGAGGAGTTATCATGTCAGCCGCCTGTTCATGATGGCACAGCATGCACCCACTGGACATGCTCACTCAAGCAGACCAATGGGGTTCATCCATACCATTCCCTTCCTCACTTCATTCATGCTCGCTTTGCCTTTTGCATTTGCTCTATCCTTTTCTCCCTCCCCTCCCTTCCTCCCTTCCTTCGCCTGCATCAGAGCACACCCACACATACAGAGAAGAAAAGAAAGATAAAAAAAGTGAGCAAAGCGCACAAACCAGACTCTGTGCCCAACCACGAACCACGTTCCATCATCCGAGCCATCCCATTTTTTTTCTTGTATTGAGCTGGACCCAAAACGGGAGCTCATCCCCTTCTGCCCCTCTGTGTAATCACTTCTTGTTCGGACAATACTTTACACTCTTTTTTGTGAAAGATAACACATGCACACACAAACAGGTCCACACAGGCACATTTGGGTACTCAACAAAACAATACGTATGCAAACAACAACACCACTCACTCTGAGGAATTAGCGTTTGAATGTGTGTGCAAAAGTGAACAACAACAGGGCAACGAAACAAATTGTAGCCCTTCTGTCCCCCGATAATGTGGCATGCTATGATGATGGGAAAAGGGATGTGGTATGGTATGCGTAGGGATTGACTAAGGAAGGGAAAGAAAGGATGGAAGGAAAAGAAAGGAGAAAGGGTCTCCATGTATGCATGCTTTATTCTCTGTTGAACAACAAGCACAAGGGGACAGAGAAAGAGAAAGGGGAAGGAGATAGATATAAGGCATGACCAAAGCAAAGAAAAGAGAAAAAAAAGAAGAGACAAATAAGGTCATCAGTGATCAAAAATCATTGATTGATTGATGGATTGATGGATCCACCATTGTCTTGGATTGGGAAGTATAGTAGAGGGTAATGGGGATTACCATGTGGGGATTTGATGAAAGAGATGGAGTCATATTACGCGAGGGAAGGCAAGAGGCGATGATAATCATATGGAGAAGGAACACTAGATGGTGTTATTTCCAAGGAGACTCAAGGATACTTTCAGTTAAGAACAAAAAAGACCCGTTGATTGTCGATATCAGAAGAGTAGAAAGAAAGAAAAAATTGTTGAGGAGTGTGTGTCTGTCTGAGACAAGGAACAGGGCGAATGACAACGGAAGGGTCGTTCAATTGGATGGGGATACGTGTGTGTGAGTAGGAGAGGAAAAATGGGCACAAACACATACACATGTAGGCAATGCACAAAGAGAGTTTCTCCGCTCGCTTGCTCTTCCTCTCCCTTCTTTCCTCCCCGCTCATTCATTTCAATTCAACTCCACCACACTTTGCACGCACGCACACAACACACGCACAACACTTTTCATAGCATAACACATAACACACGATACACACAACATACAGAGCCGGATTGTTTTTTTTTTTTTCCTTTGTTGTTGTTTTCTGTGTCCACAAAGTGGTGCCAACTACAACGAAAAGAGAATCTCGGTCCTCATCACCTTATTGACCACCTCCCTCTTTGCAAACAATCTTTTACTCACACTCTTCCTCCTCATCTTTTTTTTCTTCTTTTCTTTTTTTTCATCATCTTTCCCTCTCCCCTCACCCCCTCCCCACTCTACTTTCTATTTCTTCACACTCCATCATCATCTGCCTTGACCACCTCCCCTTTCCTTCCCACTTTTGTCTGACTCAATTGGATCTCAACTCATTTCAACCTAACCCCAAACTCCAACTCCTTCAATCAACAACAACAGAGACGATGAACACTGCAAGTACCGGGACTGCGGTCCACGAAGGAACAAAGCGCCCCGGAGACCACGACGGCGCCAGGCGGGGATCCATCCCTGACAACCACCACTACAGCCACCAGTACCATCAAGGAAGTCACCAGTCCGGCTCCCTGACCACCCCTGCCCCTTCCCCCCATGGTCGGCCCTCCTCGGCCTCCTCTGCCGACTACCCCCCTCAACCACCCTCGTCCTCAATTACCCCAGACCACCACCAGCAGCCCTCGTCCTATCAGCAGCAACGTTACTCCAACGGTCACCCCACAAGTGCCCCTTCTCCTGACCATCATTATAACAAGGACCAACACTACCCCTCACAGCCATACCCTTCTCAGCAAACTGCTCCCCCTTCTTCACAGCTCACCCCCTCTCCTCCTTTGCCCTCGCCCGCTGACGGCTTCCAAGGGCGCCCTCTTCCGCCAATTGAACCTTCTCACCCTCTCCACTCTTATATGAGCAACTCTCGTCGCGGCTCTGTCACCGACCCCGCCGATTACCATACTTCTGCTCCCGATGTTCACAAGCGGTCGTCTATCTCTGCCATGGACAGCTCCTCCTTCTACAACAGTAACGGTAACAGTAACGGTAACAGCAACACCAACGGTAGTAGTGGCCCCGGTGGCCAAGAGTCTAGACTCTATACCAACTCGTCGCCTTCATCCGTTGCCCCGTCCAACTCGGAGCCTCATTATCCTCCCTACCCCCATCCGTCGACCTCTCCCATGCAACTTCGCCAATCCGAGCATGTTTCGGGCCGTCGAGAGTCCCTCCCCTCGATTCACAGCAGTGCCGGCCCTCTTGGCCAGCTCCTTGCGCAGGAACCACAACGGCGCCACTCTATCGCCCATGGTGACCAGATGATAGGCCCTCTCAAGCGGAAAACATCCTCCACCCCTCTGTCACAGATGCACTCGTCCAGCGAACTCGAACACCCTGCAAAACGTCGAGACTCTATCCCCGACGCAGCTCACCCACTCCACCATCATCACCATCCTTACCCACCCAGAAGCTCATTCTCGGCGCCATCAAGTCCGCCTCGACGGGGTTCGAATGCAATGATACATGGTGCTGTCCCCACTCTCAACCTGCAGCCTGCTGCCGAGATCAAGTCGTCCATGACGCCTTCCTCTTCTGCCTCTGCCTTGCATAACGGACCTGGTGGACCCTTGGTCATGGACCATGTCCGTCCTCATTTCCCGCTCCACCAACCCCGTCGACCCTCGCTCCTATCTGATGCTAGTCTCTCCAGACGTTCCTCGGTCGCCGACAACCATCACTACCCATCGCACTACCAACCCTCTTCGTCGTCTTCACACAACCAGGATTACGACCACAACATGGACATGGACATGGAGAGGATGCACCTCCACGGACCACCAGACCACCCTCAACAGCAGCCACCAGCACCTTTAGGCCCTGGTGGCCAGCCCGGCAGCCATTTGTATCCGGGGTACCCCGCAGGCTACCCTGGTGGAGAAAATGGGCACAAGGGCGATACGCCGTATTCTCGATCGCCTGAGCTCAGGGTATCTCACAAGCTGGCGGAGCGTAAGCGCCGCAAGGAGATGAAGGAGCTCTTCGATGAGCTCCGCGACGCCCTGCCTGTCGACCGCAGTTTGAAGACCAGCAAGTGGGAAATTCTGAGCAAAGGTAAATCTACAAAAATGATGTGTGCGCCTTCACACACACGCAACGACCCACAGAAAACACCGACACCGACACTGACACCAACTGCACACACTCATAAGAGCAGGCAGAGGGAAAAATCGAAATATCACACCACCCTTTCTACCATCTATGACAACTCGAATCCACGATAGCCCTCTTTTTTTTTTGCCAATTGAGCTCACTTTGTGATCTGACCTTATTTCTCCTTTCTGTCGTCATTTTTCATTTCATTTGTTTTAGCGGTGGATTATATCTCTGGAATGAGGGAGAACCATGAGGCGATGAACAAGGAGATAGATATGCTGAGACAAGAAGTCGCTCGACTCAAGAACCTCTGAGTCCTACCCACACATACACAGCCTGCCCCAGCCTACAAGGTCTCAGCATTTACATCTTTCTCTCACCGTCAGCATCCGGACCAGCAACGACAAAACGACAATCGACCGCGCCTCACCACCGCCGCATGGGCTTTTCCTTTTCCCTCTCTTTTTTCACTTTTGCCCTGAAAGAAAAAAAGAAGGAAGGTCTAGACACAATATGAGGTTGCAGGAAGTCAAGAGACCCCGGTCCAGATGGGGGAGGGAGGACGGAGAGGCGGACAGGCGGATTAAAGGATGATGGGCGGATTACGATGGATACATGAACACAACACCCTTATACAACAACAATGACAACGCTTTCATACATACAACAACAAACGACGACAATGACAACGATGACGACAGGGGCGACCGATGGCAGAGACATCATACCATCGCTATCTCATACAGCAATGAACAAACAAACAACAGACATACGGACACAGTCATGCACGAGGCGAGTCTGGGTTGTCTTTCTGAAGGAGGATGCTTTTTGGAGGACAGAAGGGCTCACAATCCTACCAGAAGCGCTCTCCCTCCTCCTCCTCCTCCTCCTCCTCCTCCTCCTCCTCCATCTCTACCTCTAGACATTAGCAGATGGACTGCAGGATTTCAATGGCTGACTGTCTTCATGCAGAGCTGCAACAGTGTCTTTTTACGCTTATATTTCTACTACTTTCTTTATTCGCTTTGCTTACTTTTCTATATTTTCATGCCTTTTGCTTTTCTAACTCTCAATTTAAAGTCGACAAGTCGCTAACGGCAACCACCTACTGTACTATACCCCTTTCTTTCTCTCTCCATTTCCTTCTATCCGCTCATTTGTTTTTTCTGACATAATACGACCACGTTTTCCCAATAAACATGACTCCTTTTTTTTTGTTTCAAAATGAATGGCAATGGCCGTTGTTTGCTTTTGCCGTTGCCTGTTTGCCGCTGCCTGTTTGCCGTTGTCTGTTTGCCGTTGATTGTCTTCTCATTTCTCCATTTCCGTCCTTTCCTTAACTCAACCAGCCACTTCTCGGTGTTTATGTGCTCTCACTTTTTTTTGTGTTTGTGAGAGAGAAGGTGCGGGTATGTTGTGTTTTGGTGGTCGCCCCCTCTCCTCCCTTTCCTTGGAAGTTTTTTTCAATCTCCGGTTTTCATTTCTTTTTTTTTTCCTTGACGGGGAAAGGGGATTATTGGCCACGTGCTCCTTCCCTCGTCTCACCAACTTATTCACCCGCCTCCCAAACCCAGTTACCCCGCCGCATCGCACGGGCGGTCAGCCTCATAATCTTCTTTCTATCCCTTGCGTCGTAGATGGGTGTACATACAACACATTGCTCGCAGTAGTGACTCTGTGGCGATATATATAGAGAGAGAGAGAGATCTGGTCAAAACGTGTTAATAGGCCTCGGCTTTTGTTGAGCTCATCGTGTTATTGTGTTTTGACCTCGACATCTTCCGGCCCTCCAAGGGATCGCCGCCATTTCTGCACCGTCTTCTCCGCATTCTTCACATGTCCATCCTACAAAGCAGCCTGTCTTTTGGCCTCTCCACAATAACAACACAATGGGTGTAAGAGCAAGGAAGTGTAGAAAAAAAGAAAGGAAGGAGGAAAGAGGAAAGAGGGTAAAAAAGGAAGAAGGAAGGAAAGAAAAAAGAAAAAAGAAAAAAGAAAAAAGAAAAAAGGAACAAAGGAAAGAAGAAAGATGAAAGAAGAAAGAAGAGAGAAGAAAGGAAGGAAAAAAAGAAAGAACGTGGGGAAGGAAGAGGGTGTTGTATACTTTGTCCTTGCTGTTGAGTGATAACGCGTTGCCTTAATAGCATTGATCGTTGATAAAGACGTGTTTGTCTTTCGTCAAAGCCAAAGGGATCAATTAAAACGCGTCCTGTCCTATCTCGAGCAAGAAAAGGCAGTGGGTCTACTTTACACTCCAAGATTTTCTGGAGGGCTGTTCAACAGTAAAGAAAAGAAGAAAAGAGGAGAAATGAAGAGAAAAGTGAGGAAGAAAAAGAGAAGAAAGGGACATGCGAAATGAGAAGTGGGTGCTGCATGCACGAGCTTATAGGTGTCGAAAGGCACCGTGCATAAAAATGGAAACAAGTACATAGCCAAACTTCTAAAGAACGAATAAAGTGAAAGCAAACTAAACCGGCCCTCTAACAGAAAATAAAAGTGGAGTAAGCATTGTACGCTACTATTCATTTGTTGCCCATGTTATCCAAGACTCCAAGACGATGAGGAGATATGGCTCTCTGATTCTTGATCAGTAATATTGTTTAGTGTTCGCCATTACCTGCGCCTCTTTTAGGCTGGTTACCTTAATGCACTATGCTGTGACATAGCGGGTGTCATTCAATGACGCGCGAATCTTTCAGGTAGCACTCGAACGAGCACCTACGGAAAGAGAACCAATCCCTGCTCACTCAACACATCCACCGCCAACCGGTCAGAGACACACTAACAAACGCTGAAGGCAGAGAACGCGGCAAGGATGTGAAGAGAGCATGGAGATGAAAGCAGCGAGCTAAACACAACGATAAAGTCCGAGCAGGAAGAAACGTATTAATTGACACGCTTGGAAACAAACGTATCATGACACAAATCCTCGTTCAACCAAGGAACAAAAGTCAAGTAGCGCGTCAAAATTGAACTGGGGGTGGCCATGGTGTTACTGATGACAGGCAAAAGAATGTGTCGACCACGACCAAAAAAAAAACTCGTATCCGAATAAAAAGAGCAAAAGATAGCGTCAACAGCAGGATTTGAACCTGCGCGGGAGAACCCATGTGATTTCTAGTCACACGCCTTAACCGCTCGGCCATATTGACGTATTTGCTTGATAGAAATATCGTGAATTGCCACCCCTATATTCACCACTTTCCCTTTTTTTCTTCTTTCCCACTACTTTCCTTCCTTTCCCTTCTTTTTTGCTCTCTTTGTTTGCGTTTTCCCTTTTACCCGCAAACGCGACTCCTACCTCTTTTACACTTTCGTTTACACCTTTCCCCTTTGTTGATGACAACTATCGTCGCCCCGCTCGCTCTCAACACCCAGTGACACAAGGAGCCATCGCCCCGAGTCACTTTTATTATTTCCTCTTCTTGTCTTTTATGTTGTTCATCCCTTTGACAAAGACCCTCTTTGTCAAAGGCCCTTTCTTTGTTGTTGATGGCCCCTTCCTACTTCCTTTCGTTGTTCATCAAGTTGTTAACTCTTACACCAGTTAGTAGTAGCTCCCCCGGGCCATCTCTTTTTTTACGTCTTCATCTTATTCTCTTTCATTCAGTGACCCCACAAGTAGTAGTTTAGCGACCTTAGTCAGATAGTATAAAAGGACACCTGGAATGGATGATTGAACAGTATCTTCCCCCCACTGTTAATCATACCATTCTAGGTAAGTTCCTCTCCCCCTCCCCTGTCAACGGCTGTTCTCGTTGTCCGAACAGCCACTAAATAAACATCTTCCCCCCACTGTTAATCATACCATTCTAGGTTGAGAACCTCGAACCCGTTGTCCCCTTTTTGCGCCGAAGATCCGCATTCATTCCCCTGTCGTCCCTGAGCGTGATCTAGTTGAGATCACTTCCTCTTCCTCTTCCTCTTCCTCCACTTCTTTGCCAGTCTAGTTGAGACTGCGTGGTATCTCCTGCAGACGTTGCTCGAGGCACCCACAAATTGGTAGCAAAGGCACCTTCATTCCACTACGTTTCTCTTTCTTTCCCGCTCTCCACAATTATTAGCCCCACATCCATACTTTATTTTACTTTAGCTTTGCTCTCTTTCTTTTTTTCTTTTGCTCTTACTACAAGCCTACACCCTCTATTCATTTTTTTTACCTCTCCTAAATCACGAAAAACCCTATTCCTCCGGATCAACTTTATTTTACCTTTTTTCCCTCCCTCTCATTTTTTCTTTTCCCTTCTCTACCCGTTACGTTTTCCCACCATGGTCGATGAAGTTATCCCAGTGGCCAGCTCTCTTCGAAGGACCACCCTCCCGTCCGATACCGAGACGTTCGACTTCAGTCAGAACGACCCTTACACGGCCAAGACATGGCTAAAGCAGATCGAGATGACTGCCAAGCTGTGTAAGTTGCCCGACACTGACTGGCCGACAGCATCTATCCTCAAGCTCCGAGGTGTTGCCCAAGTCTGGGGACAGAACTTGGACGAGGCCCACCCTGAACTCACCTGGACCGAGTTCAAGGCCGCCTTCAGTCGCCAGTTTGGCACTGACGAGCTGGAGTCTACACATCGCAACAACCTTGCAGCCGTCGTCTGGGATAGGAACGATACACCGAATTCGTACTTTCAGCGTTACGAGTTCGCTGCTGCCCCCATCGCCTCCAAGCTGACTGATGGTGAGAAGATACACCAGTTTAAGTCACAAGGTCCTCTTTTCCTGTCGCGTTACCTGATCGAGAGACAAGTCAAGACGTGGGATGACGTTAAAACCGCTTGCGAAATTAAATCGCAGATGGCTCAACAGATGGGCATCACAACCCAGTCGTCCTTGACGCGCCAGAGAGGCCGTCCCAATCCTCCCATGATTGCGCCCACGTACAACCCTAACCGAGCACCAAGAAACAACCCTGCTCCTTTTGCCCCCGCCCCCCGCAACTCAATCTCAGGCAACACCAATACTGGTTTCTTTACCAACCGCCGGCAGAGTGCTGTGCACCCGTTTTCGAGACCAAACGGCCCCCCGCAAGTGAGCTTCCGCCGCGACAGCAACGCTGGCCGTCGCGACTCTGGTCCCACCCCTATGGAGGTTGACACTATCTCCTGCTTCAATTGCCGTGGCGATCACAAGGCCGCTGATTGCAAGAGGCCAACAATCTGCCACGAGTGCGGACAAGCCGGTCACTACAGAGCCGACTGCCCTATGAGAGGTTCATCTCACTCGTCGGTACCCCAGAACTACCGTCGTCACCACAATGGCCGCCAACCAACCGCCGCCCACATGACCGTCGTCGAGGCTCACGAGTTTG